AAATCAGGCATACTAATTTCAAGTATCAGATTTCCATGGTTCCAAGAAAAAAATTCCCCTAATACTGAAATAGTCCTTATATTCTTTGAAAATTTTAATATACTTTTTATTTACTTTGAAAACACATTTATTTACCCTGAAAACACATTTTATTTATGATACTTATGAAAAAAAATTATTTATGATTTTTATATTTATGAGGAAATAAGACCTATTTTCTATTAATATTTGGATTTTCTAAATAGGTAATCAAATCCATTACTCAGGTTAGTATTGTCTATTTCAGGCAGTTTACTTCGTGTTTCTTTTGTGTTTCACTGGCTAGAACTTTTAACATAGTGTTAAATAGTAAAAAAAAGTGGAATTCTCCTGTTTTTGATTTTAATAAGATTGTTGTGTTTTAGGGTTAAATAAAAAAATTGCATGTGGTGGAAATATTCTTTTTTTCTTTTTTTTTTTCTTCTTGTCCTCCCCTCAGGTTTGGTGGAAATATTCTTAAGAATGTTAAGAAAGTATTCCTCCATCATTTGTTTACTGGAGATGTTTTAAAAATAAGAAATATATGTTAAAATTGTCAAATGTTGTTTGTTGACCTAGTTCTAAGATTTTTCTTACTGGATCTATTTGTGATACATTAGGTTAATAGTTAGCCTAATAAAAAAAATTCCTGATGCATTCGTATTCTTTCAATATATAGTGCTGAATTTAATTTGCTGGAAAAAAATAAAAGGATGTTTGGGGTCATTTGTTACTAAGACTGATGTATAGCATTCTGTCTAAAAAAAGCTGTTTTTTTTTTTTTTTTTTTTTTTGATTTGTGAGGGTTTGGTGTTAGAGTTAAAAAAATTCTATGTCCGTCTTTTCCTGGAACTTTTGTTTTCTTTCATATTTTTATAGGACAAAAAAACTGCTGAAAGACTTGCCCATGAAATTGGCTGCACTCAGCTTTTTTGGGGTATTTTATTTTGAGACAGTCTTGCTCTGTCGCCTAGGCTGGAGTGCAGTGGCGTGATCTCGGCTCACTGCAACCTCCGCCTCCTGGGTTCAAGTGGTTCTCCTGCCTCAGCCTCCCAAGCAGCTAGGATTACAGGCATCCGCCACTACGCCCAGCTAATTTTTTGTATTTTTAGTAGAGATGTGGTTTCACCATGTTGGCCAGGATGGTCTCAAACCCCTGACCTCAGGTCAAAGGGCTGAGATTACAGAAAAAAATCACCGTGCTCGGCCTTTGGGGTATTTTAAATGTACTTATTCTCTTCTAAAGTTAGTTTTGGGAATTTATATTTTCCTACAAAATTGTCCTGTCTTTAAATTATTTCAGCTTAAGAAAAAAACTACCATTGGACCTGTATTTTTTTTTTTGTATTTTAATTTTTTATTTGTTTTATAAAAAAATTCCTCCCTTTGTTTGTATTATCTTGCTAGAGATTTGCATTTTAGCTTTCAAAGAAAAAAATATTAGATTTGTTCATTCAATTTTTTGATTTGTCTGATTCATCCTACTTTTTGTATTGTCTTTTTCTTATTTCTGTTTACCTTAGGCTTGTTTTATTGTCTATTTTCTAACTTAAAGTTTCATATTTGGATTGTTTACTTACTCTTGTGTAGTAATGAAAACATTTAGTTCTGAGAAAAAAAATGTTCTCTATTTGTTAGATGAGGCTGTTCAAATGTTAACAAAAACCACTAGAAAAAAAAAAATCTTTTCCTTTTAGCCCAGTTTTTGTTTTTTGTTTTTTGTTTTTTTGAGACAGTCTCACTCTACCTCCAGGCAGAGTACAGTAGCACGATCTCGGCTCACTGCAACCTCCGCCTCCTGGGTTCAGGTGATTCTCCTGCCTCAGCCTCATGAGTAGCTGGGACTACTACAGGCACGTGTCACAACGCCCAGCTGGTTTTTGTATTTTTATTAGAGACAGTGTGTCATCGTGTTGGCCAAAAAAATCTCGATCTCTTGACCTCGTGATCCATCTGCCTCGGCCTCCCAAGTGCTGGGATAAAAAAAATGAGCCACCACGCCTGGCCCATTTATTTTTGATTATTGAATTATAACATGCAGAAAGTATACAAATTGTAAGTGTACAGCTCAATGAATTGTCCCAGGGTGAACACATCCATGTACCCAAAATAAAGGCAGAACCCTTCCAGCACTCTAAAAATCCCCTCACAGATCTTAATCACAAAAAAAGTTTATGTTTTCCAAATTGGAAATACTATCCTGACTTCTAATCTCATAGATCAGTTTACCAATTTTGAACTCTTTGTGAACAGAAGTGTACAAACTGGGCCCATTTGTCTGACTGATGACTGGCTAATGGGTCTGGCTCGTGATGTTTAGTGTATCCATGTTCTGTGTATTGGTGGAAAAAAACTATTCATGCTGTATAGTATTCCATTGTGTGCTATACTACCAATTTGTCATCCATTCTTCTGTCGATAAATATTTGGTTTATGTTCAGTTTTTGGTGATTATGAAAAAATATGCTCTGAATATTCTAGTACATTTTTGGGCACATGCATTTGTTTCTGTTGGGTGTATATGAGTATAAAAAAATATGCACAAAATATATATGAGTGAAACTGCTGGGTCATAAAGGGATGTATATATAAAAAAATGATATGTTTTGCCAACCAGTTTCATAAACGGAGATACCAATTTGTATTTTCATTAGCATTATATGTGCTTTTCATATGTTCCACATCCACCCCCAAGAGTTTAAGCCAAGTTACTTAGCCAGTGGATTTAGAAACGCATATATGAAAGCATATGTTATAAATGTATTTTATTTCAAAAAAAATAAGGATTTGGCCTATTTTGGAAATTTGAGTTTGTCTTTTTGATCTGATGTATGATTGAATATTTTATGGGGACTAGAAAAGTCAAAATGTCCTTTGTAGGTGTCAAAGTATAATAAAAAAAAGGTTAATTTTATTATGTTCAGATTTTTTATATCAGTACTTTTTATATATCGACAAAAAAAAGATAAGGAAAGATTCTCAGTACTTTTGACTGTAAAACCTCTCAGTATTTCTGTCAGTTTCTCTTTTTCTAAGTTTTTCTTTATAAACTTCAATGTTAATGTTATTTGGCTTAATAGATGGTTTTACATTACTTAGGAATTACATTTTATTGCTCTAATATGGGAAGTGTTTTTTGGGTATTAAATTACATATGACTTTTCTTAGTTACAAAGAAAGGTTGATAATTCATTAGTTATAAAAAAAATAAATGTAGAAATAGTTACATATTCATGTTACCCTATAACAAGAAGTAAAATTAAAAAAAAGCAGCAATTATTTAGCTAATTACATTCCCAAGTGATGTTCTGGGATATGTCTGAAAAAAAAGTACTTCATTTTAATTTCAAAAATGCCTTTCAAGAAGTTGCTAAAATGTCTTAACAGGGAAATTTAATGATTTTCAGGTTTTTAAAAATTAACACACATAATTCAGGCATTATTAAAAAAAATTGTTTATTGAAAAATTAAGAAAGTTTGTTTAGTCACAGCAGTTTCCGAAAGATGCAAACAAATGAAAAAGGGAAAAACAAAACCCTTCAGTTGAATACAATTTAACACAATACTTTCTGTGACTTCTTTCATACTACCTAAGCATAGAGGTTTTGCTTTTTAAATTGAGATATAATTCCCATCTAGTGAAATGCATATATCTTAAGTGTTTGGTTTGATCAGTTTTGACAAATGCAAATTCTCTGTAATCCATTTGCCTGTCAAAGTATAGAACATTTCTATCATCTCAGAAAATTCTTGTGTGTGCCTTTTCTCAGTTAATCCTTATCCTCTCCACCCACTTCCAGCAACTACTGAAAAAAAATTAGTTTGCACATTCTGAAACGTAAAATAAATGGAATCCTACAGGTTGTGCTTTTCTTTTGTTCTGGCTTGTTTCACTCAGTATCTAGCTTGGAGATCCATTCATATTACTATTGACTAGATCAGTAATTCTGATTGCTCCACATTCTTGCCAATATTGGGTGATACTAGTTTTTTTTTAATTTTAATTTTAATCACTCTAATGGGTGTATAGTGTGTACACATAGTTTAATCATAGAAAAAAAGCAGTCTCCCTCCTACTTCAATGTTTGATATTAACTGAATGATAATTTCTGAGCTTTTGTCATAAGACTTTGTGTGAGTAACGACTGCGGTTTGAATATTTCCTTTGCATGGCCAGTTTGTAAATTAAGTGAGGATCATAAAGCTGAAAGTGAATTTAGAAATCATTTAATAGAAGCTCCTCAGTTTACAGATGAGCAAACTGACCTAAAACCTTAAGTGACCTATTTAACGATACACAGCAAGCTAATGCTGAATGTTTTTGATCTAATGCTTATTTCTTCCAAGTTATTTCAGAGAAAAAAAAATTTTATTTTCTTTGTAATTAATGGATAGTTTTGTTTCACAGTACTTTGAGAAAAAAAAAATTTTAGCCGGGTGCAGTGGCTCATGCCTGTAATCCCAGCACTTTGGGAGGCTGAAAAAAAAGGATCACCTGAGGTCAGGAGTTCGAGACTACCTGGCCAACATGGTGAAACCCTGAAAAAAATAGAAATAAAAAAATTAGCTGGGCATAGTGGCGTGCGCCTGTAATCCCAGCTACAAAAAAAGCTGAGGCAGGAGAATTGCTTGAACCCAAGAGGTAGAGGTTGCAGTGAGTCGAGAAAAAAACATTGCACTCCAACCTGGGCAACAAGAGCAAAACTCTGTCTCAAAAAATAAAAAATAAAATAAAATGTTTGTTTTATATGCGTTTGACAAAGGGAAAGAGCTTAAAGTAGGCTCCATCTAAATTCCCTTTTCAGCATTCCTTTTTTTCTCCATATAATGCAAGACCAGGAGAGAAGAAAAGGAAAGGTGGGAACAACTCCGCGGGACTTGCAGTTGAGGGTGTCGTAATAACTCCTTAAAAAAAGCTGCTTCCCATTTGAGTGTTAGAATGAATTGAATTCTATTATTTAACTCTGCTAAAAAAATCCTAGGTATGCAGGTGCCTTAAGAGCTTCAGGGGAAATGGCTTCAGCGCAGTATATTACTGCAGGTTTGTATTCTAAATATACTACTTTTTAATAGGAGTAAGACATTTTATTTAAAAAAAAAAATCCTTTGCAGTTTCCAGAATGTCTTTTGTAAAACATCACCTCATTAAGCTAAAAAAATACGTTATACTTAAGTTAAGCAACTTGGTACTTATTTTATCATCCAGATTATAAAAAAAAAATGTCTGTCCTTTGTGAAAAATAATCTTTGGATTTTTTTGGTTAAATTATGATTTTGGCTTCAGGTTTGATTTGTGTAATATATCTTTGGGGTTGACTGGGGAGAGCCAGCGACGGGTTTTATCACAATCGATGCATCATTATAAAAGAGGGTCTTAGTGAGTATTGGTGTAAAGAAGTGATGTGTATGAGGAGAAATAGTAATCTTAAAGGATAGAAATAACTGGTTTCTTCATTGAAAAAAAGAATATACCCCTCACGTAATTTTGGACATTTTAATACTGTTAAGTCTTTGGGTTAGGTCAATAGGGTTTTACAGCCATGCCTTTTTTTTTTTTTTAACTCTCTCTCTAATGGCTTAAAAAAAATAGTGTACATATCATAAATTCTGCCCATTTAAAGTGTATAATTCATTGTTTTTAAAAAAATCCACAGAGTTGTGCAAATTTTACTAAAATGTTAACTTTAGAACATTATCATCCAAAAAAACAACTTCATAACATTTAGCAGTCACCTCCTTTCCCGTTTCTAGCCCTACCCAAACATTTGTCTGTGTGTTCCTTCTCTCTAGATTTGCCTACTCTGGACTTTTGTACTAAATGGAATTAGATAATGTGTAGTCTCTTGTGACTGGTGTCTTTCACTTAGTATAATGTTTTCAGAATTCATCCATATTGTGGCATGTATCAGTACTTCATTCTTTTTTATTGCTAAATAAGAGTGCCTTGTATGGACATGCCACATATCATTTATCCATTCATCATTGATGGATATTTGGGTTGTTTCTAAAAAAAGACTATTACAAATACTCCTGACATGCGTGTACAAGTCTTGGTGTGGACAAATGCTTTCATTTCTCTTTGGTATGTATCTAGGAGTGGAATTAATTGCTGGGTCATATGGTTACTGTATTTAACCTTTTGAGGAACTGCCAGAATTTTCCAAAGGAGCTGCACCATTTTACATTTCCCCCAGAAGGGTATAAGGGTTCGGATTTCTCCGTGTCCTTACCAACACTTAGTATTATATGTCTTTTTGATTGTAGCCATCCAAGAAGTATGAAGTGTTATCTCACTGTTGTCAACCATTGATAAAAAAAATTATAAACAGGTTTCTTTTGTGTCATTTGTAGTTAGAGAGATTTTACTCTAACAAAAAAACCTAAAGTAGACTTACTTGTTGAAGTTTTTAATGAGAAAGTGTGATCGTTTATAAAAAAAACATTTGACAGCTTATGTATCTTACAATAATTTAGAATTTCAGCAGCTTCTCCAGCATCATATATGCGGCTAATAGTATTGGTGCAATGAAAAATACTGTTCTTTACATTTTTGCTAAAAAAATTTTTAACTTTTTGTTTTGAAATACATCTAAATTTACAGAAAAGTTGTAAGAATAAAAAAATTACTAACTTTTAATTGCGTTTGGTTTCTCGTTTTTCCGTTATTCATGTAATTTAAAAAAAAACCATTTTAGAATAAGGTGCCAGACATCAGGTGTTTTATTCCTGAATACTTCAAAAAAAATTTCCTAACAATAAGGACATTCATAACCACAAGATAATTCTTAATTTTCAGAATAAAAAAAGGGTGCTGTGGCTCATGCCTGTAATCCCAGCACTTTGGGAGGCTGAGGCGGGCAAAAAAAATAAGGCCAGGGATTTGAGACCAGGCTGGCCAACATGGTGAAACCCCGTCTCTACAAAAAAAACAAAAATTAGCCGGCTGTGTTGGTACATGTCTGTAATCCCAGCTACTCAGGAGAAAAAAACACAAGAATAACTTGAACCTGGGAGGCGGAGGTTACAGTTAGCTGAGATTGTGCAAAAAAACTTCAGCCTGGGCAACAGACTGCGACACTGTCTCAAAAAACAAACTTTTTTTTTAAAAAAAGGGAGTTTCACACAGTACTCTAAAATACAGTCTTTATTCAGATTTTGCCAGCTGAAAAAAAATTGTCCATTAAAAATTTTTTTTTCCTGCTTCAGGATTCAATTTAAGATCCCACATTGCATTTAGTTGTTATGTCTTACTAGTATCTTTTAATCTACATTTCTTCTTGACCTTTTAAAAAAAAACTGATGAAATACTTTTGAGATGCTCTGTTGATGGTATATACTAGATCTTAAAAAAAAAATTTGTTTTTGAGTAGTATATAAAGTATTATTAAAATGTAGGCTTTTATTTAAAAAAATAATTAGCTTAGTAGTGATGCCTAAATTTCAGCCTTCCCTCCAAAAATATTTTTTAAACATTGTGTTCAGTTTTGTTATTCAGTAACATTTTTTTGAGCCCCTGCTTTGTGCTAAGATGAAAAAAAATTTGGTGGGTTCAGTCTGTATAATAATGATAGGTGACATTTCACATCTTGGGTAAAAAAAAAACATACAAGTTGAGGTAAGCTAGAGGAAGAGTTTTGCTGTACATGAAGCAGAGCAAGGTCTGATCACTAGGAAGTCAGCAGAGGAGAAATGGTTCGAACTCCAAGAGAACAGAAAAAAAAATGACTGTGAGATTCATGCTGCTGAGAGGGGTTAAGTGGAAAGAAGGTTTTCTGAAAAAAATAAATTATTAGTAGTTTTAGTTCTTAGCTGTCCAGTAGAGTCAGCTGTTTAAGGACCCAGATTTAAATCTCCAGGAGTTGAGTAGATGAGAACCAATTATAGATTTAAAGGGAGGAAAAAAAGGAGAGGTGACCTGCTATCCTGATCTTGGCAGAGTAGCAGAACGATTACATTATAAAAAAATGGTCCCTACACAGAGGTTATGTGTTCTTTGTACTGAATTAAAACACCCTGCTTTGTTTGGGAAGACAAAGGCTGGCAAGAAGAAAGAGAGAGGCAGGGCTCTGAAGTTGTTTACAACTAGTGATTGCTTTGTAAGGTCTTCTGGTGAATTCTTTAAGATTTAAAAATGATTTCTTTTTTTCTTGTTGAGAGTCCAACAATTGTCAGAGTAGATACACTTAAAAATATTTAAGCGGCAAAAAAAGGTGGCTCACACCTGTAATCCCAGGCTGAAGTGGGGAGATCACAAGGTCAGGAGTTTGAGACCAGCCTGGCCAACATGGTGAAACCCTGTCTCTACTTAAAAAAATGCAAAAATTAAAAAAACATGGTGGCATGCTCCTGTAATCCCAGCCACTCGGGAGGCTGAGGCAGGAGAATAAAAAAAACCCAGAAGGTGGAGGTTGCAGTGAGCCGAGATCGTGCCGCTGCACTCCAGCCTGGGGAATAGAGCTAGACTCCGTCTCAAAAAAAAAAAAAATTAAGTAGGTTTTTGTTTGTATAAAAAAAAATTAATTTACAGTCGCATGTATTAAGTATGTGACTATTTTACTAAGGCATTGTAAAAAAAGTCTTTAAGCCCTTAGAGATTTGTTTGATTCCATGGATAAAACTTCTTCCAGTATTCCACCTATTATTCTACTGCAGTTTTTGCACATGGCTTTCCCACAGTTTGCCGAGAAGGGTGAACAAGGACAGTATCTTCAACAGGTAATTAGGGCAAGGTATTTTACATTCTGTAAATGTAAAAAAAAGGTTTCCTACATTTACCATACTTATTGGAACATAGTTCGAAATATAAACATCAAAAAAAACTAGTTCATGCCAGAGCTGTCTCTTGCCTGGAACCTCAACAGTAGTCTTAACTGATCATCTGGCTTCTGCCTTTGCCCCTTTGCAGTTTCTCTACACAGCCCATGGTGTCTTTTTTAAAATGAAGATAGGATTATGTTGGCCCCTTGTTCAGTACTCCCTAGTGATTTCTACCGCAGTCCTAAATCCTCTAGCCCCTGGCTTTTTCTCTGAGTTCATCACTACCACTCTGCCAGTTGAAAAAAACTCTCCAGCTGCACAGGCTTCCTTAAACCCTTCAAGTGCCCTCTTCCTGCAGGGCCTTTGCTCTTGTTCCTTTGGCTGTCAGACAAGTGCAAGACCAGCTCTCTCACCTCCTTCAGATCTCATGGCTCCAAGACCAAAGCCTCAGGCTTTCCCTGATGACCTTGTTGAAATAGGACAAAAAAATTCCCCTGATCACTTGCTGTTTCCATCCTGCTTTTTTTCGCTTCATAACCCTTAAAAAAAATTGAATTTTATATTTTCACTGCTGTTATGCTGAGTATTTAGTACAGTGTTTAGCAAAAAAAGGAGCTCAGCAGATGTCTGTTGAATGAATAAGCTATTCTAGAATTATTTTTTGGAAGATCATATCTCTTATTTGGCTTAATATTTTTAAAGAAGGAAACTACTCTCTTGCCTAGGAAAAAAAGATTATTTTGGAAGAATTTTGTAGATCATTCACTGCCAGGATTACTTACTTTGTAAAAAAATACATTACAGGATGCTAATGAATGTTGGATACAAATGATGCGAGTATTGCAACAAAAAAAAGAAGCCATAGAGGATGATTCTGTTAAAGAGGTAATTGAAATATATTTGTGATTAAAAAAAATCATTATATCTTGATTCTTTTTTTAATTTTTTTCCCCGCAAAGGCTTAAAATAAGTTCATCTTAATGGGTAGATGTGTATTTAAATACTTTAGATGCTCAATCTGTAGTCAGAATAAAAAAACTTGCATACGACATTTACATTTAATGTATTATTTATTAAACTTAATTCATTGGTGATTTTTTGTAATGTTTTTTGAAGGATTTTACATTAAGGGACTATATTTTAAAAACTTAAAAAAAAAATACTAAACTGAATTGTGTGGAAGAAAATATACATTAATATTTATATAAAGTTGGAATTTTTATTTTAATTTTTTGCAGACAGACTCTTCATCTGCATCGGCAGCGACACCTTCTAAAAAAAAAAGTTTAATTGATCAGTTCTTCGGTGTTGAGTTTGAAACTACGTATCCTTATGAAAAAAAATTTGTATAGACTATCTACCTTATTAGAATTGACATAAATAGCATCATTGGCTGAAAAAAAAGTGCTGGGTAGAAGAAAAATTCTTCAGAGGTTTTTTTTTTTGGTTTTTTTTTGTAAAAAAATTTTTGAGACAGAGTTTTGCTCTTGTCGCCCAGGCTGGAGTGCTATGGTGCGATAAAAAAACACTGCAACCTCTGCCTCCCGGGTTCAAACAATTCTGCCTCAGCCTCCCAAGTAAAAAAAATTACAGGCGCATGCCACCACGCCCAGTTAATTTTTTGTATTTTTAGTAGAGGGGAAAAAAACCCTCTTGGCCAGGCTAGTATGGAACTCCTGACTTCAGGTGATCTACCCGCCTTGGCCTCCCGGTGTGAGCCACTGCGCCCAGCCCAGAGGTTTTTATGCCTAAAAAAATACAGTAATGGAAATGAGGAATTTGGAAAAGTATACCTGTTGGAGTGACCTTGAAGGATAATGGGATAAAAAAATATGTTTTGATTAATATAATTATTCTAATTTATTTCTTGAAGGATATTTATTATTTTTTCCTAAGAACATCTTTAGCAGAGTCTACCTCATTTTCATTCACCTTATAAAGAATTAATTTCTTATATGTCAAGGTGACTGTTAATAATAACTTTTAAAATAAAGAATTTTTTAATTGAAAAAAATGGTGTGTATCAACTATATACGTGAGATTGAACCAGTTAATAAAACATGAATCAGGAAAGTACTGTTTTCTAGGTCATGGTTAGAAAATCTTAGAAAAAAATTATGTTTATGTACCTTTGGGCTTCTAAGACCATTATAAGACCACACTAAATACCAGTTTATAGTTCAGAGTTTATTGCAGTTTATCTTTTAATACACATTTATTACTCATTGTTGTTTATAGAATTGTTGGTAGCAAAAAAAACATTCTTAAGTATGTTGAAATGAATCTTTATTGGGAGACTAAAATGTTTTAAATGCCAATGAATGATACTATTAATTTTAATGGAATTAGGATAATGTATTATATTCAAGAGTAAAAAAAAAATTGAATACCCGTTGGCATATTCCTTATCTTAGTTTACAAAGCATGAAATGTAAAAAAAATGAAGAAGAAGAAGTCACCAAAGGAAAGGAAAATCAACTTCAGCTTAGCTGTTTTATCAATCAGGAAGTCAAGTATCTTTTTACAGGACTTAAATTGGTAAGGACAATCACAGTCCATCCTTGTTGTTTGTGAATTCCACATTCGCAAGTAAGCCAAAGTCATTATTCGCTGGGCTTTAATGGTCATTTGTAGACATGTGCAGAGCAACATGCATTTTGAGTTGCCCAATACACACAAAAAAAACTGAGGTCAAACAAGTACTTGGCCGTCTTGTTTCAGCTTGGTAAACAAATACCAAAAAAAAAGGAATGTTAGCACCGGTTTTTTTTTTTTAATTTCTGCTTTTTATTGGTTATTTAAAAAAATAAGATGACCCACCAAGCATAGGACAGAGTGCTGTCTAGTGTTTCTAAGTGTGGGAAGGCTGTGATGTGCCTTACTGAGAAAATACACATGTTAGAGAAGCTTCAGTTGGGCCTGAGTTGTGCTGTTGGCTCTGAGTTCAATGTTATTTAATCAACACAGTATGTGAAATAAGGTGTCTTTAAACAGAAACACACATAAAACAAGGTTATATATTGATTGGTTGATGAAAATCTTGTGATCAAAGGTTGGCGGAATCTAATCCTGTATTTCCCCTAGGAGCAGTGGTTCAGTATTCACAAAAAAAGTGCTTGTGGTGACTTTGTAGAACATAATTACTGTCACTACCAAAATCAACTGTGTAGTCAGAAATCAAACAAACTTCAACTAGCTTTTCATTTCATAAACAAAAGCATTATTGACATGGTTGCATATGCTAACAAATATTGGGACATCTCACTTTTTAATCACTGGATGTTCCTGAAAAAAACTGAAGAAGCACCTAGTGCTTTGTACTGTACCTTGCTTTATTTTAAAGCACTCAAAAAAAATTTGTTGAATAATATACATGTTAAGATTTAATTTTTCCTTAGAGTTAGTTGTTTAAAAAAACCCAATAACTTAGTTGAACTATTAACTTTAAGGAAAATTACTTAATCTAAGCTTAAAAAAACTTACATGAAAATGAGAGTAACTATAGGGTTGTTTGTGGATTTGTGCTCTTAACAAAAAAAGGTGATCATATAATGTATTGTCTAAACTAGGACACTTTGGTGGAGAGTGAATGAAAAAAAATTAGTAATTATGCAGTATAAACTGGGATTTTTTTGTGCAAATCAGGGCATGTAGTTGTTCTGCCATTGCACTGTCTTGTAGTTGAGGCCCTGGAATTTAAATAACCTAATTGGCTAAAAAAAGAGCCAGAACTAGAACTCGCTTCTTTCGTTATTCAGTTAGTGCTGCTTTTCCAGAAAAAAACTAAAGAATGCAGACTCACATAAAATGTTGGCTTCCACTCTGCTGATAAGCCCAAAAAAAAAACATATGGTTTTGCTTGCTGACTTACTAATTTGGTATGCTTTGGGGATATGTATATCTCTTGAAGGATCTCCCCATTTGAAGTGCTATCTTTTAATAGTTTTCAAATTGCAGTTCATGTGATTTCACTTTCAAAATCTCTGATAATTAGGATTATTTTATTTTATTTTATTTTTTAAAAAAATTTCTTTTTTTTTTTGAGATGGAGTCTCTCTCTGTCACCCAGGCTGGAGTACAGTGGCGCAGTCTCGCTCACTGCAACCTCTGACTCCCAGGTTCAAGCGATTCTCCTGCTTTAGCCTCCCAAGTAGCTGGGACTATATTTGGTATACAAAAATACCAAGTATAGCCACCACGCCTGGCTAATTTTTGGTATTTTTAGTAGAGATACGGTTTCACCACGTTAGCCTCGATGGTCTCAATCTCCTGACCTCATGATCCGCCCGCCTCGGCCTCCCAAAGTGCTGGGATTACAGGCTTGAAAAAAAACCCAGCCAGGATTGTTTATTTTAAGTTAGCTTCTTCCTAAACACAGTTGTATGAAAAAAAAATCATGAATAAAAGAGCTGTTGCAGCATCTAGATATTTGAAGAAGGGCCTGGAGAAAAAAATATTTAAAAATTTTGGTTGATCCTCTTTTCTGTCTCCTCTAACCAGAAGTCTTGAAGGAAGAAAAGTCAGTGAAAAATGATGAGGCATTGGAATAGGTCCTCTGTGCAGAGGCCTAAAAAAAGCAGAGGGGTTGGGTTGATAAACACTGAAGCGGGACCTGGATTATGTTGATAAAAAAAAAAATTTGTTGTCTGGGGGCTGTCATCTACAGTTTGGGGTAAGTTTGGCAGGGGAAGGGTTGGTAAATGGACATAAGAAGAGAGAGTGAGTCATGTTCTGTCTTATGATACTGAGGGGAGAGTTTTGAGGCAGTGTAGATAAGAACATGGTGACTGTTAAGAGAAATTCATTTAAAAACAAAAAAATACTTAACCCCCAGGAGTCAAACCATGTAAGGCATGATGTGCAAGTTTCAGGATTTACCAACAAATGAAGTCTCAGTGTTCATCGGAGAGTGTGGAGTGGAGTGCTTTGGGAGGGAAAAAAAGGAATGGTATTTTCTTCACAATTTTGTAACAGTATAGGAAAACCGAACATACCCAAAAAAACTAGATGATAGTGTATTGGTGATAATATTAAGATTTCACCACATATACTTTCTTGAAAAACATGTATTCCTAAAATGTATTTACTTCCTTTATAACTTTTAAGATGTTTTATCTTAAAAAAAGATAATTCTTGAGTAATTTGGCTTCGTTTCTCTACTGCTTTGCTGCTGAATAAACTTAAAAAGCTACTCCACAGTGATTCCTTTTGTAATGATTAGTAATTTTAAAAAATCAGATAAAAAAAAATTATTATACAAGTGTAACATGCTTAAACATTACCAGTAGGTTATTTTAATTCTAATTTCTTTTTTATTTTCTTAAAGCAGAGCACATAAATAGTGCTAATTTTTTCTATAACATTAGAAATAGTAGTGACTGTTAAATGTAGAGTATATGCCAAATATTTTACCAGGTTTTCTAAAAAAAATGACTGTAATTCTAACAATAGCACTATAACATAGATTACCACTACCACCTTTTCAAAAAAATGCCCAGAGGGATAAATACCGTTTTCATTGTTACACAGGCTGTAAGAAGTGTAAAAAAAAACATGCTGGTTAAGATATGTGCAGTAGCTAAAGGCTTTCCCACATCTGTTAGGTTAAAAAAAGGTTTCTGTGTTATGACTTTTTTCAAATTTAACAATAATTGATCGGTGCTTATTGGCTTTTATGCATAAAATGTAAAGAACAAGAGTTTCCTGGGTTCTCTTAATTTTCCTCTAGAAAAAAAATTCTGATAATAAACAGGAATGACAGAGCTTTGTTATATAAAAATACAATATAAAAAAAAATGAATCTAAGCATCATTTGGGGCATAACTAAAAAACATCAAACAGTATTTACACAAAAAAAGAGTCCACAACAGCGTAAATTATTTGATGCCTTATAAAAATTGAACAGTATCTGGAAGTCTTCCCATATTGTCATCATATTGTGTTTCAGTGGTATAAACCCATTGATATACTGTAAAAAAACTATTAAGTAGTGCTAGTTTTTAAAAGGCTTAGTGGTGTGATTCTATATTGCAGAAAAAAATTAAACTAATGTTTGGTCTTCTGTTATGTTCTTTTTTAGCGACTTCAGGAAGAAATCACCAAACAGTCTCCAACATTGCAAAGAAATGCCTTGTATATCAAATCTGTAAGTTATGAAAAAAATTCGAAGCCAAATTCCACTTCATTGAAATATTTCCAGTTAATTAATTTTATCCAAAAAAAATTTTTACCACTGAAGAATTAAAACTTGTATGGTATTTTGATGTAATGGGATTTCAAAAAAATTTCTCTCCTTAGTCCAAGATCAGCCGGCTACCTGCTTACTTGACCATTCAGATAAAAAAATTTTTTTATAAAGAGAAGGAATCTGTGAATGCCAAAGTTCTTAAGGTTAGTAATAAAAAAAACTTTGTATAAGAAATATAATTCTTTGAAGGTAATTGCTAACTTACAATTGCTTAAAAAAATCCTTTAGGAATAGTTAGGTTCTTTGAAATATTTAGGGGAGATATTAATATTAGACAGGTGATTCTTAACTGTGAACGTATATTAGAATGATCTATTTTTTTTTTTATATTTAATAAAAAAAACGCCTGGCTTCTCCCTCACCCCCAAACATCTGGGTCTTTGGTGGGGCCTAGGATATTATATTTTTCAAAAGATTCACATATAATTCTGATGACTCTCCTGCACTACGCAGAAATAAAAAAATAGACCACATCCTCAGCTTCAGGGATACTGATTCAGTAGCTTGGAGAAGGGCCTGAGGTAGGGAGTGATAACACTCTGCACTATATTCTAGGTGGTTCCTTTCTTTCAGGTGAAAGGAGAAAATCATTGGTGCCCAAAGAGTACTTAAATTGTAATCCCTTGATTTAGGATCCAGCCTCAGAATCCAACTGTTTTTGTTGAGTTGTAGTTCTGCTACATCTCCATAGAGTCCCAGGAAAAAAAAATCATTTTAGCCTTTTGAGCTTAAATTCTTAGTATATTTTCCAATATACTTAGCATTGTATGAGAAGAGAAGGTTAAATGTACTTTAAGTATCTAGTGTTGTATACTTTAAATATATACTACTATAAGCTATTGAACTATATCACTATTATTTCTATGTAAAGTTGTATTTCAAACAAAAAAAAAAAAAAAAAAGTTTATTCCAGTTTGGGAGATCCATTATTTTCACAGCAGCTTGTCTAATATTTCTGAGATGTTTCTTCTTTCAGGTAAATTTTGGTACTTCCTCTGTGGTTAGTAAAAAAAGTTAGAGTATTTAATGGAAAAACATGTTTTGAAAATTTCTCACCTTAAAATAGTAAAAAAAAGATCATTCTTGAAAATAGGCATTCTTAAGAGGTTTTCAACTGCAGATTTCCAAGTGATTTTCACAGATTTTTATTTTCAACTGTATTTGAATTATGAAAGCATTACTTCAGATGAAAAAAACGTTAAGTATCTTTATAAATGTGTTTACACATGTTTTTTGTTTGTATATAGGATAAAAAAATTCCTCTTATGTTGGATATGTATGAACTGTGTACACCAGAACTTCAGGAGAAAAAAAAAAATTTTCGATCCAAATTCAAGGATCTAGAAGATAAAAAAGTGAATCAGCAGCCAAAAAAAAAAGGTTCTTACTGCTGACTTTCTAATCTTAGTATCTTAATCTCCCATCAGGGCTCAGCAATTACTCTCTTTTTTTTCCTGCTTCATTTTTCCTTCAGAACTATACTTTGTATAGTATAAAAAAAAATGGATGAATCTGTATTACAATTAGCAGGTATACACATCCTCCATATATCGGTAAAAAAATTTAAAGTTTTGCATGTGTTTTGTTTTATTTTCCTTTTTTTTTTTTATTTTTGAAAAAAAATCTCCTTTTGTCACCTAGGTTCACTGCAGTCTCAACCTCCCAGGCTCAAATGATCCTCCCACCTCACCCTCCCAAGTAACTGGGACCAAGGCATGCACCACCATGCCCAGCTAATTTTTTGTATTTTTGATAGAGACAGGGTTTTGCCATGTTGCTCAGACTGGTCTTGAACTCCTGAGCTCAGGTGATCTGCCTGCCTAGGCCTCCCAGAGTGGCCTTTAGGTGTATTTTAGCATGAAAAAAAGGAACTCTACTTAGAGTAAATGAGTCCTTTGTGGTAGAATAAGCTTAATATTTTAAAAAAACCCATAATCTGTAGCTCATATTCCGTTTATACTTATCTCCTCAAAGTACTTCGCATAAAACCTTACCTAGTGTTGACCTTGATACAATCAAAATACAGTACATTTCCATCACCACAAAGATCTTGCGTAATTGCCACAGGGCCACTTTTCTTCTGCCCTACCCTTAATTCCTGACAAAAAAAAACCTGTTCATTTCTATAATTTTGTTATTTCAAGAAAGTTGGCCAGGCATGGTGGCTAGCGCTAGTAATCCCAGGACTTTGAGAATCTGAGGCAGGAGGATCACTTTAGGCCAGGAAAAAAAAACTGTCCTGGGCAACATAGTGAAACCCTCTCTCTACAAAATATGAAAATTTTAAAAAAAAAGCTGGATGTGGTGGCATACACAGGTAGTCCCAGCTACTTGGGAGGCTGAGATGAAAAAAAAGCTTTAGGCCAAGAGTTAAATGCTGTAATGAACCATGATTGTGCCACAGTACTCAAAAAAACATAACAAAGCAAGACCCTGTTTCTAAAAAAAAACACAAATGAAGTAAAAACTCTTCCACTCTTTAATATAACCTTTCTCACTCAGCATAATTCTCTGGAGATTCTTCCAGGGTGAAAAAAATATTGGTCGCTCCTTCCATTTCATTGCTGATCAGTATTCCCTGGTTTGAGTTTAAAAAAAACGGCTTCACCATTCACCTGTTGAAGAACACCTGGATTGTTTCTAGTTTTTGTCTAAAAAAAATAAACCTGCTGTAAACATTTGTGTACAGGTTTTAATGTAAACGTAAGTTCCATTTCTCTGGAATGAATGCCTAGGAATGCAATTGTTAGATTGCGTGGTAGTTGCGTGTTTAGTTTTTCAAGAAACTGCCAAATATTTTCTAGAGTGGCTGTACCATTTCACATTTCCACCAGCAAAAAAAAACCGATTCACTTTCTCTGCATTCTCACCAGCATTTGGTGGTGTCACTGTTTTTCATTTCAGCCATTGGATAGGTTTATAGTGATACTGTGTTTTCCTTTGCACTTCCCTAGTGACTGATGAAGTTGAGCATGTCTTCATGTGTTTGCTATCTGTATATCCTCTTTTGTGAAATGCTAAAAAAAGTCTTTTCCCTATTTTCTAATTGGACTGTTTGTTTTTTTTACTCTTGAATTTTGAAAAAAATCCATATTCTAGACCTTTGTTGGATATGTGGTTTGTGAATATTTTCTCCTAGCCTGTAGCTTATGTTTTCATCCTCTTAACGTAGGGTCTTTTGCAGAGGAAAGGTTTTGTAAATAAAAAAAAAATCCAGTCTATTTTTTTATCTGGTTGCCTGTGCTATTGGTGTCATATCTGAGAAAAAAATGCCGGGCTCGGCGCGGTGGCTCTCACCTGTAATCCCAGCACTTTGAGAGGCCAAAAAAAATAGATCACTTGAGGTCAGGGGTTTGAGACCAGCCTTGCAAACATGGTGAAACCCAAAAAAAACTAAAAATACAAGAAATTAGCCGAGTGTGGTGGTGCGGACCTATAATCCCAGCTACTTGGGAGGCTGAGGCAGGAGAATCGCTTGAACCTGGGAGGCAGAGGTTGTGAGCTGAGATCACGCCACTGCACTCCAATCTGGGTGACAAAGCGAGACTCCATCTCAAAAAAAAAAAAAAAAAAAAGTTCAAGGCCTCAGAGATTTATATGTGTGTTTTTTTCTCAGAGTTCTGTGGTTTAAAAAAATCCATGTAGGTCTTTGATCCATTGAGGGTTAACTTTTTATATAGTGTGAGGTGTAAAAAAAGATTTATTCTTTCGCATGTGAATATCTGGTTGTCTCAGCACCATTTTTTAAGAAGACTGTTGTTTGCCTATCAGATGGTCTTGAAACCTTTTAGAGATTAATTTGACCATCTGTAAAAAAAACTGTATTTCTAGACTATTAATTTTATTCCATTGGTCTATATGTCTGTTCTAATGCTCATACCAGACTGTCTTGATTACTGTAGTCTTCTAATAAGGCTTGAAATTGTGAAGTATCAAAAAAAACTTTTGTTCTTCTTTTTGAAAGTTATTTTAGCTATTCTGAGTCCCTTGCATTTCCATGTATATTTTAGGATCAGCTTGTCCATTTCTTAAAAAAAGATTGATGGGGATTACATTGAATCTGTGGATCAATTAAAAAGTATTACCATCTTAATAGTATTAAGATACTTTAGGAGGCAAAAAAAGGCAGATTCCTTGAGCCCAGGAGTTTGAGACCAGCCTGGGCAATATGGCGGAACCCTGTCTCTACAAAAAATACAAAAATTAGCCAGGCTTGGTGGCGTGTGCCTGTAGTCCCAGAAAAAAAGAAGGAATATTTTCTCCTAGCCTGTAGCTTATGTTTTCGGAAACGGAGGTCGTAGTGAGCCAAAATGGCGCCACTGCACTCCAGTCTGGGTGACCGAGTAAGACTCTGTCTCAAAAAATAGAAAGTATTAAGTCTTACAATCCGTAAACTTCATGTGTCTTTCTATTCGTTTAGGTCTTTAATTTTTTTTCATAATGTTTTTTAGTTTTCAGTGTACAAGCCTTGGACTTTTTTGGTTAATTTTATTCCTAAATAGTTTATTCTTTTTGATGCTTTTGTAAATGGCATTCCTTTCTTAATTTCATTGTCTAGAGTGGCTAGTAAAGCTAGCGTATAGAGATAAAATGAATTTTTGTAAATAGATCTTAAATCCTTGACTTTGCTGAATTTATTAGCTGTTTTTATCCGTTAGTGTTTTGAAGAGAGTATGTAGATTTGGTGTTAATTTTTTTAAAACATTTGATAGAATTGGTGATCATTTCATAGAATTGGTGGAACAATCTATGCTTAGATATTTTACTTTCAGGAGCTTTTATTTGTTTATTTTATTTTTATTTATTTTTTTTCTATTGCCTAAACATAGGCAAGCATATTTTCAGGAGTTTTTACATTTCAAATTTAATTTCCTTCATAGATACAGGGCTGTTCAAATGATCTATTTCATATTGTATTTATTTCTGTAATTTGTTTTCCCAGAATTGATCCATTTCATAAGCTTATCAAATTTGTATGTAGAGTTGTTTCTAGTATTTATTACCCTTTTGATGTCTGTAGGATGTTTAGTGAGTGAGATCCATCCCATTTCATTGCTGATATTTGTAATTTGTGTTTGTCCCCCTTGCTTGAGGATTATTAATTTTATTGATCTCGTCAAAGAATTGGCTTTGTTTCATGGATTTTTCTCTATTTTCTGTTTTTAATTGTATTGATTTGTGCTCTTATTTCCTTTATTCTGCTTGCCTTGTGATATAAATTTCCCTTTCAGCAGTGGTTTCACTATATCCTATGAATTTTGACATATATTATTTTCATTCTGTTCTTTGTATTTTTAAAAATTTCTCGAGACTTGCTCTTTGACCATGGATTATTTGGAAGGGCCTAAGTAATTTTCCTGTTATGTTTCTGTTGATTCTAGTTTGATGCCATTGTGGAGAGAGGGCACACTTACTTGATTTAAATTCTATCACATGTATTTATTTATTTGAGACAGTCTTGCTCTGTTGCCCAGGCTGGAGTGCATAGGTATGATCTCGGCTCACTGCAACCTCTGCCTCCTGGGTTCAAGCAATTCTTGTGCCTCAGCCTCCCGAGTAGCTGAGATTACAGGCGACTGCCACCATGCCTGGCTAATTTTTGTATTTTTATTAGACACAGGGTTTCATCATGTTGGCCAGGCTGGTCTTGAGCTCCTGACCTCAAGTGATCTGCCCGCCTCGGCGTGAGCCACTGTACCTGGCCTAAATTATATTAAATTTAAATGTGATTTAGGTATAGACTATTTACATTTAGTGCAATCATTGACGTTAGGGTTTAATTCTGCTTTTTTGATGTTTTGCTTTTTTTTTTTTTGTCTTCTTGTGGGTTACTTGAACTGTGTTTTAGTATCCTGTACAATGTTTTTAAATGTGCTGCTTTGTATAGTTTTTTCAGTGGTTGCTGTAGGTGTTTTCATTCTCTATATAAAAAAGATGTGATTAACCTAGTTGCCATGTTTTGTTGTGGAATCCTTTGACTTCTTGCCATCACAGCTACCTGTAAGCTACTGGCATTGTCTTCATTACCATTATAGTTTTAAAGAACTTTGTGCTGTATACCTAGATAAATTTTTCTCATGTTCCATGCTAAAATGACTTGAAGCAGTGAGTTCCTACTAAGAGTCCTTGTCTAATTTAAATCATGCCTCTTTAATATAGGTAAGGCTTTGCTGAAAAATATTTCAGTTTATTTGTGCTGGCGTGGCGAGTGGGCAGGGCTCGGGTGGTTTAATGCAAACTACAGGAATTTAACTTCTCTTGTTACAGAGGCAGTTTTTTCCCCCCACCGCTGTGGTTTGATAGGATTTTGGTAACATTGGGAAATTGGGTTTTCCTTTTCTGCCCTAGAGCACTGTTGAACTGTACTGTGTATTCACTGGTATGCTCTCACTTTAGTGGTTTAAAATTGGTCATCATGTTCAGGGTGTCTGCTACTGTACTGTAACAAGATTTTATATTGTGGGTTTACAGTTTTAACTGTAGTTATATCGTTTTAGTAATTTGAAAGGTAGACTATTTTGTCTCTGCTTTGCACTGTAGACAGTAAATATTTATGAAATTGAACACTTACAGAGAATTCAAATTTTATTTCCAAAATCATCATTTAAACATTTTTTTCTCCTCAGAGTGACAAAAAGAGTAGTCCCCAGAAAGAAGTTAAGTATGAACCCTTTTCTTTTGCTGATGGTAAGTAACATTTTCATTTTGAGTTATTGTCTGTGTGTCTTTTTAAGGTAAAATTTATGTCTTACCCCATATTTACTTATTCTGATGTCCTTTTCAAACAAAATGTCAGGTTTCTTGAACAATTTACCTTAATATGACATATAGTAAATTTACTCTTGTTGGCATACAGTTTTATGAGTAAGTTACTTCTTAAAACATCAATTATGAAGCCATAACTATGATTGCACAATAGTATCTTTTTGGTTTTTTTTTTTTTTGAGAGGAGTCTCACTCTGTTGCCCAGGCTGGAGTGCAGTCTAGTGATCTCGGCTCACTGTAAGCTCCGCCTCCCGGGTTCATGCCATTCTCCTGTCTCAGCCTCCCTAGTAGCTGGGACTACAGACGCCCGCCACCAAGCCCGGCTAATTTTTTGTATTTTTAGTAGAGACGGAGTTTTACCGTGTTAGCCAGGATGGTCTCGATCTCCTGACCTTGTGATCTGCCCGCCTTGGCCTCCTAAAGTGCTGGGATTTGGACAGTAGTATCTTATTGGATTCTGATAATATACTTTCCTAATGTGAACTTTAGAGTTATTGATTGTTACTTAGCTTGAGGAGGCACATATCTATTCATTGTCTAATATTGATGGATTTACATCTTTTTTTTAGATATTGGCTCCAATAATTGTGGATACTATGACTTACAAGCAGTACTAACACACCAGGGAAGGTCTAGTTCTTCAGGTCATTATGTATCATGGGTGAAAAGGAAACAAGGTAATGAGTATTCTTTTTTCAACTGTTCAGTATTATTTTAACAGTTCATTTATTTTATAGCAGTGGTTTTCAAACTTTGGGTCTCAGAACCACTTCACATTCTTGAAGCCCCAAAGAGCTTTGGTTTATGAGGTTTGCCTCTTAATATTTACTGTATTAAAAATTAAAAGTGAGAAATTTAAAAAATTAGTTTTAAAAATGATAGTAATAAGCCCATTACGTATTAATGTAAAAACAAAGTGAGTGAGAAATGGTACTGATTTACATTTTTATGTCTTTCTGTTGTCTGGCTTAAATAGGAGGCAGCTGGGTTCTCCTGTTAGTGTTTGCATTCAGTCTGTTGCATTATCATACATTATGTAGCCTCTGGAAAATTCCAGAGCACACTTGAGAGAATGCAGGTGGAAAAGGCAAGCAGTGCTGTAGTGGTGTCATTGAAGTAGTTGTAACCTGGTGGAACCCCTGCAGTGCCCTTAAGCCTGTGTGGTCACCGGGCCGCATTTGGAGGACTGTTGGTGTGGCCAGTGGAGCACTGCTGTGCCTCCGATGACGCTATACCTTTTTTGCAGTGGAACTCAGAGAAGAATCCTGCATAACATTAATTCATCTTCTCCCTGTTATTTAGATGAATGGATTAAGTTTGATGATGACAAAGTCAGCATCGTAACACCAGAAGATATCTTACGGCTTTCTGGTGGTGGAGACTGGCATATTGCTTACGTTCTACTCTATGGGCCTCGCAGAGTTGAAATAATGGAAGAGGAAAGTGAATAGTAGTCTTCATTTTAGCTATTTATGCTTAGGTGTGAAAATAAATGTTATTTGTTGATCATTTCTATAATCCAGAGCTTTAGAGGAAGACACATAGGTGGTTTTATCTGTTTCCCCTCGTTTGAAACAAAAGAGGACAGAAGCAGACCACTCTGTGCATCAACCTAAAAAATTACAGAAAAAATTATCTTTGGATTGTGCTGCCCTATATAAGGGTGGCAGAAAGACATTTTTTAAAAACTTATTATTTCTTGCATTATTTTTAAAAATTCTGAGTTGAAATGCCTTTCAACCATTTCTTTCTGTGGTCATTTTTCTTGCTGCCTTTTTCACCCAAGATTCAGCAATCAGATGTTTATTGCACACCTATTACCTATTATTTGTTGTTCTTGCATGGTTCAAACCACCATTCTATAGCCACCCATCCTTTGCCTTATCTAACAAACATTTTTCCAGGAAGGTGGAAAAGGAAGTTTTGCTCTCATTGTGTAACTCAGTGCTGCTGTCCATCCCATGGAAACATGGGCACAATCAAGTATTTGTCCAGCCTGTTGCAGGCTTTTCATGACTTTAAAATAAATTGTGATCAGTAATAGTACATTTGGTTATACATTTATTATTGTGTCTCTCTCTGATGTACTGTGGATTGTACATTTAACTTTGGAATGGCTTTGTAATAATCAATCTTAAGAAAATGTTGACAAGCTCTGGTTGCTTACTTTTAGAAAATGAGGACATTTAATAATAATAAAAAAGGGGGGATTAATAGCTTTTGACCTCAAGTCTTTTGTCTTCTGAGTGTTGGAGCTTGGCTGAAGATTCAGATATGTTTAATGCTGTACAGTTTCTGAAGATGGTTATTAACACTGTGCTGTCAAGCATCCATTTGAAAATATTTGTTATCTTCTTTGCCTGCCTGTATTTTACAAAGAAATAATACAAAGTTGTAAAAGTAATGGATTTCTTTGGATGCCAAATGCAGTGATGTTATCAGTCAGATTTGTTCCTTGGCTCAGTTGGTGTTTGTATTTCCTAATTCCCCAAACTTTGGCTGTGCGTGGTGGCTCACGCCTATAATCCCAGCACTTTGGGAGGCCAAGGCAGGTGGATCTCTCGAGGCTGAGATTGAGACCAGCCTGGCCACATGGTGAAACCCTGTCTCTACTAATAATACAAAAATTAGCCGGGCGTGGTGGTGCACACCTGTAATCCCAGCTACTTGGGAGGCTGAGGTCGGAGAATTGCTTGAACCCGGAAGGCAGAAGTTGCAGTGAGCTGAGATGACTGTAGCCTGGGTGACAGAGAGACTCTCTCAAAAAAAAAAAAATCCCCAAATCTTAATGTCTGTTTCAGAATTTTAGTGATTTTAAGGTGATAGTAGAAAATACCAAGCATATGAGGTATTTCAATATGATAGGCTTCTTACATTTTAATACATTAGTTATTCATCTTTGTTCCAGGACCCTTGGCTGATTGCTAGGGAAAGGATAAAGCATAGAATACCAGCCAGTTTGGCTCTAATTTTGAGTTATTTGTAATAAAGTTTGGGGATTATCATAACATCTCATATCTTTCTTTGTGTATGTTGTTTGAATGCTCTGCAGAGCACAACACTGATAACTATTAAAAATAGAAAACAGCCATTTTACTTTCAAATCTGATGTGATGTAATCTGTGAACACTAGGGGGGATAAAATAAGCATTGCAGGGAAACTTATTTGTAAATAGCTTCCTCACCTAAACTTTGACTTGGCAATCAATACTTTCTACTTCGTGGAGGGGATTAAGAATACAATGGGGAGGAGGAGACCATAAGAATTATAATGATTCATGTATATTTGTATGATGCTTGTAACTTTGCAGTCTTTTTTATTCATTATCTCATTCAGTCAGAACAATTTTATTGAGGACATGAATTTAACAATTAGAATTTAGATTTTCTGACTGTAGCTACCAGATGCTGTAGCTACTAGACCAGGTGAGCTAGGTTTAGAGCAAAGTATATAAGCCTTGTATGGAATATATTAGAATTTTAAAAATTGTAATTCCTTATTATAAAAAGTTTGATTTCATTTTATTTGATCTACAAAAGCATTATTCCAAAGAATTTTTTCAAGTAGAAATGGGAGTTATACCAGTGTCGTTTTAAACTAATAAGGCTATTTTAGAATTCAGCCTTGCCTGTAAGGTCTTTGAGAAGGGAGAATAGGCAGCAAAAAAAAAAAAAAAAAAAGTCTTGATTCCTGAATGTGCCTTATATGCTGTGCCACTCACACCAAGGCCATCTCAGCATTAGAGCTGTGCTAGATCACTGCTTCACTAGCTAGAAGTTAGGCCCAAGTAAGCGCATTTACAGAATAATCTGCACTCAGTAGCCCTTCTTCAGGATTAAAAACAATGATGACCTCATCTTAGAGCCCTAAAGGGAAATGGGAACAGGAAAAGGCGGTGGTACTGTCTTCTGCTACTACTACTTAGTGCTTTGCTGTGTATAGGGTGCTTTCACATACATCTCATTTGAATGTCACAAGAATCCCTGAAGTGATTAAAAGTCTTGAGAGGTCAGGCAATTTTTGTAAGGCTAGAAGGAAAAGTGAGGTTTCAGACTTCATTTCTTTTAAAGTTGGCAAACATTTTCTGTAATGGACAAGATAGATAGATAGTAAATTATTTCAGGCTTTGCAGGCCATGAAGTGTTGTAGCTCCTTACCTTTGCTGTTATAGTGTAGCTGGAGCCATAGACAGTTAGGAGTGAGCACAGCTGGGTGCCAGTACAATTTTAACGATCAAGACTCGTGGCAGGCAGAACAAACCATCATTTGTTGATCCTCTGCTTGAAAGCACGAATAAGAACAGAGCAGTCATATGGTTTCAGAAAGTGTTATTCTGGGATTCCAGGATAGCTAAATTTTGTAACTACTAACAGCACACAGGAAACTAATTTGGTATAGGAAACAACATATCCCTAAATAATGCTTATTTAACTTCACTATAAATACATCTACTTAACAAAAATAGATTTTGTGAGGGTCACTTCGTTTAGGTCATTATCTCAACCCACCCTCCTCCCAACCTCCCCAAACTCTGGTTTGAGCCAATATGTGTTCTATTGTTCTTAGAGCACCAGCCGACTGTACAACAATTGTTATAAAAATGTTTATTGTTTACCAAAACCAGTGGACCTCTTATCAAATGCTGCTTGGTAACAAAATCTATCACAGTTTTAATAAAAAGAAAAAAAAGAAGCTAACTATTTGTCTCATTGTCATTAGTTAGACTTTCTGCAAGGTCACTTAATCCAGACTTATTCAGTGCATTAATCAGATTCTCAGGTGTTGCATGAACTCCCTCTTGATCTTGCCAGGCAACCAGGAGCTGCTTAGCTCTCATCTTCATGTCTTCACTGTCACACTCAATCTGCCTAATTTCTGAGTCTTTCATTTCCAAGTAGGGAGCCAGAATCTTCCATTGTTCACCCAGCTTGTTGGCAAATACCTCTATTTGTTCTCCTGTTACAGGTTTGTCTCGCCGAACATCAGGACCTAGAAAACGAAGAGAATATAAATTATGTGCAATTCTAAGTATACAACAGAAATGGAAAGCTATGGGGCCAATGAGTTTTATTAACCACCTTTAGTAGACTTTATTTTAAAAGCAAACAATTATTTTTTATATTCTCCATAAGCTGAATACCACTCTTAATAAGCGTGGTCAACAATCAAAGCTAAAGTTGTTACCTCTGTTAAAATTATGTAGGCTTTCCCTGAAATGAACTGTTCCCCTTCCAATAACCAATAATTAACAAAGGTATGGGTCACCTTCAAATGTATTTTCCTTCCCTTTTAAAGTATCATTACTCCCCAATTTTATTGCATAAAATGTAGTATTTTTAGTTATTATTAAGCAATGTTTTAAATTCCTCACTGTAAGTCAGAAACAGTTGAGATAAAATGGGAGAAGTTGAGAAGCTGATTAAATAATGTACCTATCAACAAAGAACCCCAATCTTCTTCAATTTTGTTAAATAACCAAGAAAATTAAATTCTTACTTTCATTTTCCTTCAGTAAAGCATCATTATCTTCCTCATCTTCATCCTCACCTGTTTTTATTTCTTCAGAAGGAGGCTAAAAATGAGAAAGAAGAATGTTTGAAAGAATGCCAGCCTCTGAAGTACGGTAACAAGTACTTTGTTTAGATAAGGATGATTGTGAGATTCCAAGTACAGGGTGCCAGAACCTCACCCCTGAGAGCGTTAGACAGTGTCAGGTAAGGATCCTAACTGGGACTGTCTTCCCATGCAGGAGGAGTGAACTTGGTAAGACCCCAGAGTTGGAAAGACTCCCCACCCCCAATCTGGGAAGCAGGAAGGCCGTGAAAAGCACAGTTCCAGGATTTGCAAATACCCAGGGTTTAGTAAAGACGGCCTCAAGGAAGCCAGTAGCAACAGTGTCCTTAAAAGTTTCTGATTCTTATCTTTTACCTTTGATAAAAGACAATATACTGCGCATTGGCAAACAGGAAAAAATTCCTGTCTGTGTGTATAGGTGCATAACAGTTTACCTAAAGTACCATGAATTTTATATACTTTTTTGAGATGGAGTCTTGCTCTGTCGCCAGGCTGGAGGGCAGTGGCACAATCTTGGCTCACTGCAACCTCTGCCTCCTGGGTTCAAGCAATTCCCTTGCCTCAGCCTCTTCAGCAGCTGGGACTACAGGCACCTGCCACCACGCCTGGCTAATTTTTTATATTTTAGTAGAGACGGGGTTTCACCATGTTGGCCAGGATGGTCTCAATCTCCTGACCTCATGATCTGCCTGCCTAGGCCTCCCAAAGTGCCGGGATTACAGGCGTGAACCACCGCGCCCAGCCCTGTTGAACCTCAGTTAAATTACATGCTGTACAGAAAATTATCAGTTACTTCTTTATCAACTCATGTATTTCCTGTAAATGTATATTCCAGTGTGTTTTTCCCTCATTCTAAAACATGGGAGCTTGTGGACCACTGGTTTTTCACACGATTAAGTCAGTTTTTTGCTCACATAGTGATAGCAGTTTTAAAGATGATGTCAGCTAAAGGGCATGAAAAGTTGATCTATGGTACTTACCGGTAATTCCTTGGCTAGCTTTATTACCATGTTTTCAAGATATTCTGGTAAACTTTTAAACTGCTGGTTGGTTGGCTGGAAGAAGTGAGGGCTTCTCCGTGCTAATAGTCTCAGGGCTCTCCAACCATAATTTGAATTGTTCACAGCCCTATAAAAAGAGATGTCAGGCTTGTAATTTATAGTTTTGTATTTCTGTATTCCCTTCTGCTTAGTTCTGCCACGTGCAATTCTATATTTAAGGTAAATAGCTCAAAGTACCATTCTTTTCATTCGAATCTTACTCCTAAAGAACTTTTCGGGATGTTGTCCACTGATAATAACAAATCAACAGATACACACATAACTAATAACAGGAACCAACAATGTCTGAAGAGACAGGCTCATATGCAGCAAACACATTTTCAAAGTTCGTACATTTTGTTTAATTTTAACAAGTCAACAAGTGTGTGCAGTACTGGCTAGATGCAGTATGTATACAACAGGAATCATCCATCTGGCTATTCGGAATCCATGAACTGTTCCCTAATGAAGTATATAACAGTGATCAAGGTGGTATACAATCAGGTGAGAAACAGAAACTGCAGAGAAATTCTAAAGATAATGCTCCAGAAATACGCAATGCTGCAGAAGAAACCAAACCACCAATTTATTCCATTTAAGAGTTTTGGATTGGAAGTCTCTCCCTCCTCTAAGAATAGCAATTTGGTTTATTTGGTCATCTCTTATAAATGAGCGTGTGTTACCTTTAGGATGTGCAGGTACCACTGAAGACTTAACAAAAACTACCCCTAGACATTGAGGACTCTTCCCAAGTCAACACCTGCTGTGAGGCTTTGCCTGAACACTTAAGAGCCTTCTTTCTGACATATCTCTGTTTAAACGATTTGATTATTTTAGGCATGTTCAAAATTCACTGTCAATTATATATATCATTTTTCTTATTCTCCACAAAACCCTCTTTCAAGATAATAATTTGAACTATCACTTTAGGAATGAGTCCACCTAGTCTTATGTAACAGTGATAAATATTCTTTCAATTGACAAACACTTGAGCCAGGCACTCAGTAGCTGTGGAAAGTACCTGAGGCACAGTAATGCAGAATGTGTTGGCAGGCATCGCTAGTGATAAACACACAAGGTATAAGATAATTTCATAAGGATGAGGAAAACGAGAAATGAGAAGGTGGTGAGTGCCACCTTCTCATTTGGATAGTGGTAAGTGCCATGAAATAAAAACCACGAGAATGCAAAAGAGGAGACCAGGGAGGGGAAGAGCTTCCAGGGGGACTTAAAGCCATGGGAACCTTGGGGGAAAAGTGGTTCAAGCAAGTGAGACAGTAAAGTGCGAAGGTCCTGACGGGAAAGGGAAAGACGTTTGAAGTGAAGAGCACCAGGCCTGCTGTGGTTAGAGCAGAGGGAAGGCACAGCTACACAGGACAGTATAAGCCAGACCAAGGAGGTTTTTAGACCCTGGGAGGGACTTTGGAACAGGCACTCACTGGAAGATTTTAAGCAGATCAGACTTGGACAGTTATTTTAAAGATCACTGGCTGATACATGGAGCACTGACCACTGCTAGAGAAAACAGTGAAGAGGTCAAGAGGTCACAGTAATTAACAACTCTGGGCACAGGGTCACACTAGTAACGAATATTGAGTGCTAACTACATGCTCTGTATGGTTGAAAGTGAACTGTCTTATTTAATCCTCAGAATAACCCTGTGAAATGGGTACTGTTACTATTTAACAGATGAGGAAAGGGAGGATGGCGATTCAATTATTAAATTAGCCTTAGTCGTCTAATAAGTAAGTGGTAGAGGGGACTGGAACCTATGCATTCTGACAAGAGGCCTCTTGCCTTTAAACCACTATTCAATTCCTATTGAAAGCCATGAGACTGTGGTGTCACCCAGAAGGTTCTAGATAAAGAGGCTAAGACTGAGTCCTGATGTTACTCCAACATTTGAGTTAGGCAGAGGATGAGGAGGCTGAAATGGAATGTGAGGTGGAGTGGGCAGCGAGGGCAAAGGGCAAACAGAAGAACCATGGATTTGGATTCTCATGGACGCCAAGAGAAGAAAACATTATCTAAGGGGAACAGGATAGGTTAAGAGCTGCTGTGAGATACTGTGCTTTGAAGGGTAGAGAGAAAAGAACTAATAGTTGGAGAGTAATGGGAGCCAGGGGGAGTTTTTTTTTTTTCTTATATTTTGAAACAAGGGTGATTCCAAGTCATGCTTAGTTAACAGGAATACTCCTTGAAGTCAGGATGTGTCCTAACAGGAACTCCCCTAAGAGAAAAAGCACTACTCTATCCACTGCCTCTCTTAGTAAGTTTTCCAGTATACACATAATTCCTAAGGAAAAAACAAATCGAATAAAATTAAAATGAGCTAATGAGAAACATTACTTACTTATATTCATTTTCAACCATATTTTCAGGGTCTGCCTGTTCAATGGCTTCTTCAAAGAATTCCTCCAAAGTGGGCATGTATTCCCTGAGCAGTATAAAATAACTAGTGAGGATCACATATATTCTTAATAATAAATACTCATAAAGTGGTGGCAAGACAAGATTCTAATGGCCCCATACTTTTAGTTACAGTTTTGATTACTTGGGAACTCAGACTTTTAAGGAACTAAAATCCTCAAAACTAAATTCAGAAAGGACAATAAAGAGGGGATAGTCTAATACTAAACAATATTATGTAGTATTTACTACATATATTGTATACTTTAATTACACACCATAATATATGAATATGTTGCTATTCAAAGAGGGCAGCCAGGGGATTTTATAGCATTTGAATTTTACCAGCAAATAAGAAACTTTTACATGACGTCCCCATCCATGAATTATTTTTTCTTTAAACCAGAATTAGACCAAAGCTAATAATCAGACCATAATACGATTTCAAGGGTTTAACCTTTAGCTCTTATTTAAATTGTTACCATGGTAGCATTGTTGATTTTTAAAATGCATCTTTCTTGAATTTGTTTTTAGAAATAAAATTTTTATACAGGGACAAGCAAAGAAATGAGATCTCAGGATCAGAAGACATCTTCTAGAATAAAACTAGGAAAATGGGCTCTCTAAAAAAAATTATCCCAATATCCATTCGTTTCCTAATGCTATAGATACTA